ATAATAATATATCATGCATAATATATTATTTATTATATACAATAGAAAATCGATAAACCGTCTATTTCTGTCATCCGTTATCGCATTTAAGCAATGCTGGTAACAGTTTTGGTGGGCAATATATAATATAATATAATACGTTATCAAGTGGGAGTACCTATTCTTATACAAAATACGCGATAATCGCGTTTCGAAGAAACATTCAACAGACGAAAATTACCGATTACCATGTATCATATATAATGTGTATGTTTGACGTTTGAACAACTGTAGTTGACGACAGTCTGTTATACACCTTATTTAGTATTTTAAAAATTGTGCTTACTTCGCGAGTTATTTTCTGGTACAAACTTCTGGTTCGAACATTTAAATTCAATGTCGAATACTACAAATAAGTCTCGAAAGCATGTAAAACTAGAGTGTTTAGAGTGTGGATCAAGTTTTGATGATGACTATCGTAAAAAACACGAGATAAATCGTCACGGCGGAAAGAGGACGAAGGTTAATCATTTTGGAGCACCTGATAATCCATTTGACGCTAGTAAAAGGAATATAAAACATATACCACAATCGGTAAGCTTCATATTTTATTCGATTCTATTTTACTGGGACTTAGAAAGTACCACAAGTTGTAAATTGTAATTTTTCATTCAAAACCTACCCTGTTTATTTCGAGGCTTAAAATATCTTATGAAATTTTTTAATAATTAGATTAAAACCATTGGTAAATAATTAGGTACCTACATTTTATGCAAATACAATTATTAAGATTATTTTAAATCTATGTAGGTTATGATAGAAGAGGACGATTCTTATAATATAGATAATGATTTGGCAATAGTCTGAAAATATTGAAAACGAAGGAATAACTTGGTTAACTTGTGCAGGTCAGTTGAAAGTACTTGTTAATGAAGTGAAGGAATGCGATTTAGTTTTGGATAAAATTAAAACTGAACAATTTCCGAACCCAGTTTTATTTTTAATTAATAGTTTTCAGAAAGTAAGAACGATTCAAAACATAGCTGATACTTTTTTAAAAAATGCATCAAGTATTTTAACACAAACTATCAGCAATAATGCGACCAATATTTTATACGATCAAACCAAATACAACACCTTAATTGATCATGATCCAGGCAAATAAGAAAAAATTGTAACTAGTTCACAGAGACATTATTTAATTTCATTAGAACCTCAACAGTCTAAACTTACTTCATATCCCAGAAACAAAAGTATCAATACGAACAAACAATGGCAATTTTTTTCACGTTGGTATATTGAATTTCTTTTGCTGGAAAATAGTATTGAAAAAGACTCGGCTTATTGTTTTGTATGTTTTTTATTTCCAAATGGTCCGGATCGAGAATTTTCCGATAACGCTTAGGTCACTGAAGGCGTTAGGGTTTGGCACAAAATGAAAAGTAGGGGTAAAAATAAACCTGGGAAACTTTCTGAGCATTTCTCTTGTTCAGCTCATAAAGCTGCATTAAGAGACTACTGTAATTTTATGAAGATATCTTGTCATATTGATGTATTATTTGATCAAGCAAATAGAGAAAAATCAATTCAAATTCAGCATGGGCGCGAATATAATAAGCAAGTTATTAAAATACTTATGGACACTGCTCGTACTTTAGCTCGGTAAAGGTTGGCGTTTAGAGGTGATGGAGATGATAATAATGGAAATTTCATTCAAATCGTGGAATTACTTTCCAGACATTGTAATATTATAAAACATGGTTAGATAATAAATCTATGAGACCACATCATGTGACGTATCTTGGTTCTAGGTCTCAAAATTAATTCATAGAACTGCTATCTTCAGAAACTAGAAATCGAGTAATTAAGGAAGTAAAAAATGCGGAAATTTATTCAGTTCTGGCAGACACGACTCCCGATATTACCCATCAAGATAGATTGGCAATATGTGTGCGATACGTTAATAATAACGAAAATGTTAAAGAGAGACTTCTTAAAATAAATGATTGTACCGATAAAACTGGATTTGGGATTGCAAAGAATATTTACGATACCTTAATAAGAAACGAATTAAATCCAGACTTCATCGCTTTTCAGTCTTACGATTTTACCTCAACTATGTCTGGTCAATTCCATGGAGCGTAAAAATCACTGACCAATCACTATATACCTTATATCTCATGTCAAGCCCACCGTATTAACACATTTTTAGAACATGGCTGCAATGCTAGTACCATTATACTTAACGTAATTGGTAACCTAGAGGGTCTATATGTTTTTTTTAATGCTAGTACAAAACGGTATGGAATTCTTAGTAAAAAATTATCTGAAATTGAAGGTAGTTTTGCAGTTGTGTAATTTATCAAAAAACGCAATGAACGTCTCGTGCAGAATCGATTAAAGCAGTTTGAACATCGTTTGAAATAATTCTTGAAACTTTACAAGAAATCTCCTCTTCAAATTTGTACGATACAAAAACTAAAAGCCAATTAATAGCTCTGTTTAAAAAAATAACAACATTTGATTTTATTGTATCAATAATATTTATGAAAAATGTATTATATAAACTCAAAGCACTCACAAAGAAGTTAGAAGCAAAGGAATTGAATATAATTGATGCAAGTCAGGGACGCCCGGATGGGGGGGGGGCAGTGGGGGCCATTGCTCCCCCTGAGATTTTTGCGTCACTTACAAAATTGGAAGTTATTTTACATGAAGCTGATCTTGGTTATTCAGTGACTATTCGACAATCCTTGTATCTAACAAGTATCTAACATTTTTTTAATCAACAAATGATGATTCAATTAATTTATTTGCTTCAAACAAAAGGAGATTGTCATTACTTTTTGAATAAAATAATAAAATATGATGCGAATTCAATCAAATAAAGTTGTTTTTTGTTTAAACTTTATTATATTTTTTCTTATAAATATTAAAACTAATAACTATTTATGTAATTTTATATAAACTTAAATGAGTTTTGATTTTTAAAAAATTATTATTGATAGTAATACAAAATATGAGTAGATGAAATATGTAGCAGTAAATCTTCCTATAAGTATTTAGGTACTTACAATTTTTTTGCCCCCCCCCTGAGCTACATTTCTGTGGGCGTCCCTGATGCAAGTAATTTAATAGAGGGTACAATTAAATCACTTGAAAATATAAACAAAGATTCTGATGGACTGGATACTATTATAGACGCAGCTCTAATATTTTCAAGAAAACTAGATTTATATCCAATAGAAGATTTTAAGAAACATCATCATAAACGATCGATACCAAAAAGAATAGATTCTAATCCAATGACTCAATCAGACTTCTCATTAAAATTATTTTATCGTAAAGAATTTAAACAAGTATAAAACCGGGTTTACACGCAATGATAAATCGTAACGATGTGATTGTCAATTTATCGTCGTTTTTATTGTTCCAATTAATCGAAAGAGTGAATATTGTTTACACACTACGATATACATGCTACGATTTCTTATCCAATATTCTTTGTCAACCGTGGTTCATCACAACTCAGTTCGCCATTAGCTTTCGCCACGGAGGAAGTACTGTTGTGGTCGTTATATCTAGTTTGTTTAGTGAGAAAGCAAAAAAGTTGCGAAGACCAAGAAGAAAGTGGAGCCGCAAATGGTTGCTGAAGAAAAGGGAAGTTTCTCATATAAACTTATTGCGAGAAATACGAAATAAACCCAATGACTGGTGAAATTATTTGAGAATGGATGAAGAGACTTATGGTGAGTTGTTAAGGTTAGTTTCTCCGTTTATCGTGAAAAAAGACACTGTTATGAAAAAAGCCATATCTCTACATGAGATACTCTCTGCTACCTTACGATTCCTTACTACCGGAAGAAGCTTTAAGGACATGGAATTTTCAACTGCAATTTCTAAACCAGCTATCTGCAAAATAATTCCGAAAACCTATGAGGCTAAATATAATTAACTTTGATATAGTTCAATAAATTCGCTCAAGAAGTCTCGAGGTGTTTGCTTGTCACAAGGTGTTTGTTCTGCCATGATCATTTGAGTAAAAATAAAAACAATTGTCTACGAAAAAACGAACTATCCTCCGTGAACGGCCAACGCAAACTAAATCAAATTGTAGCGATAAATGGTTGTTACATGATTACACGTTCAAATTATAGTTACGATTCGCAAAAAATGATGCCGGTCGGCATCAATCATCCGATCCAATTCCAATTCCAATAAATCGATACAATGCCCTATTTATACGCAACGATAAATTGGAACAATTCGATCGTTACGATAAATTGCTAGCATTTATCGTTGCGTGTAAACTCGGTTTAAGACACACTAATAAACTTAACAACTGAACATTTAAAAATAACTATTGAAACACTCAAACCTTTATTTAATATTTTCAAAATGCCATTTGACAATAATACTTGTTCATTAGAAAATGTTGCAGGTGCTGTAAAATTATTTCCCGAAATGACAACTAGTGCGAAAATTCACGACATTGATGCAATACATGCAGAAATTGAAATTCTGTTAAATCAATGTGATGTAAAATTTAAATAACATTTTTGAAAAATTTGAGTCATCAAAATCAATTTTTCCGTGGGCTAATCGAATTTGTCATTTAGCATCGACTGCTCCTGTTACTACTGCATCTGACGAAAGAATGTTTAGTAAATTAAAATTAATAAAAAATTACGTAAGATCGAAAATGGCTGATCAACGGTTAAATGCACTGATGATGTTGAGTTTTGAAAAAGACATAACAGATATTTTGAATATCGATGATCTTGTACACCAGGGGTCTCCAAACTTTTTTATTGAAGAGCCACAAAAAATATCAAATGCTCTTAGCGAACCAAAAGTTTATTAACACATATAATTTTTAATTTTATGAAAATATAGGTATACAAATATAAGTTAACTTTAAATCTTTTTATAAAATATTGTCTACAATATACTTAAATATAGTTGGTATAAATTTAAATGATAATAATATATACATTGTAATTTTAATAATTTTTTTTTTTTTAATGAGAAGTATGAAATTGATGTTTTTCTGCTAATATTCGATCGAATTGAGGTTGTATGTTGCTAGTTCCAATTTTCAAAATTGACTCCAAGTGTTTGTCAGTCATGGCCGATCTGTATTTTGATTTGATGTATTTCATTTTAGAAAAAGTTTGTTTGCACAAATAAGTTGTAGCAAATACAGATATATATTTAATTGCAAATTTTTTTAAATTTGGATACTCTATATCTAGGAAAAATTTATAAAAATCAACTAAAGTCTCTTCACGATGTTTGATTTTCAGTGCATCATTACTTTGTAAATTAATCATTTCCATTTGAAGGGTAGAAGGTAACTTCTCAATATCACAACTAAACGGGTTTTGAAAAATATTTATTTCTTCCGATTTTACGTCAAAGTCAGAAAAATGTTGTTTAAATTGGATTTTAAGTTCAGAAATTATTTTTTGAGCGAAGTCGACTGGAAATTGTGTTTTTGATTCTGTGTTATATTTATCACAAGTAGAAAAATGAATAAAACAATTTTTGAAATTTGCGTTTCAAATAAAATAAGTTTTCGCCTAAATGCTTTTACTAATGTGTAAACATCGCAAATTAGAACATCTTTACCTTGTAATTTTAGGTTGAAGTCGTTCATATATTTTGTGATATCCACTAAAAAAGCTTATTTCCAAACCCATTCACTATCTGTAAGTAAAAGCAATGGTCGATTCTTATCAATTAGAAATATTTCAATTTCATTTTTTAGTTGAAAAAATCGCGATAGGACTTTTCCGCGACTAAGCCATCGAACTGCTGTAAAATACGGTATATCTTGGTACTCTGTTTCTATTTCTTTCAAAAAATCTTGAAACTGACGATGCCTAAGTTCGCTCAAGCGAATAAAATTTACTGTTGATATTATTGGATCCATAACACAAGACAAGTCTAAAGAATGCAAAGTCATTGGTTTAAAACCTTCTTTTTCACAATTCGTAAATATCTGTCCAATTACACCTTTTTTTGTGCCACACATATTTCTTCCGCCATCAGTAGTGATACATTTCAAATTTTCCTACTTCAAATTATATTTTAAAAATGATTTTTCGATAACTTTAAATATGTCGATACTTGTCGTAGTTATGTACATGCTATGTACAGAAAGTAGTTCATTTGAAATTTCTAAATCTTTATTAACACCTCGAATAAATAAAAGTAACTGTGACGTATCAGATACATCTGTTGATTCGTCAAGTGCTATACAAAACGAAATGAATTCTTGAGTCTTATTACTTACCTGAGAATTTAAATTATTACTAATATCGTCAATTCTACGGGTAACTGTGTTACCAGAAAGACTAATATTTTTAAAAGTATCAATTCTTTCTGGACAAATTTCTTCAACTGTTTGAATTATACATTCTTTTATTAAACTACCATCAGAAAACGCTTTTCCTCTTTTTGCCAATAGATGTGAAGTACGAAAACTAGCCTTTGTAGCAGCTTCATTAATATTTTATTGTTTCTTAAATAATAATTGTTGTGATGAAAAATTATTTTGAAGTGACTGCAATTTATCTAACCGTAATTTCTCAGTAAATTTTGAAAAAGTTGTCTTCTGTTTCGTTTCATAATGCCTTCGAATATTGTATATTATATACTCCTTAAGTACAGAAATACTTTCTTTGCATATTAAACAAATTATTTTGTCACCTGAATAAATTACGAAATAATCCAACGACCACTTTTCATTGAAAACACGACATTCTGAATCTATTTTCCTTTTCAATCCTCTTCCTGACATGTCGAATTGGTGAATTAATAGGTAAAGAATAATTTTTATAATAAAGGCACTGCAAACTTAGACATGTAACTGTACAAACGTTATGAAATAATTTCGTCGTACCGCTCGTCTATGTGACTAATCTCTCCGTTATCGACGTTAAAACTAAAAATATAAAAGGAAATTGCAATGTCTGTCGTCATAAATTATGATACGTGCCCGCGATAACGACTTTTTAAATTACACATATATTTAGATATCTATATTTTATTTACCGTCTTATGGGTGCTGCGGGCCGTTTAAAACTTGTTCGCGGGCCGTAGTTTGGAGACCCCTATTGTACACAAATGGACAACGCTAAAGTAACGCAGGGTTCAATTGTGATTAATATAAGTTTTTAAAATTTTAAATACTGTAACACTCATTTTATAACCATTTTGTAATAAATAATAAGTGATGAATTATATGATAATTATTACCTATTTCATATATTATTTTTGTTGACATTATTTTATTCTGATATAAATTTAAAATAAGTTAGGTATTCTTGAGTTTCCACTTCAAATTTAATTCAAACTAAGAATTGAAACATAAGGTAATAAATAAATTATAAATTTACAGAATGTTACTAAAAATAACTTAATAATTCACAAAAATTTTGAATTTCAAATTCTAGTCGGCAATTTTGAAGATTACACCCCCCCCCCCCCATGATTTTTTTTTTGTGATCGTCCCTGCTGGGAGTTAGACCTACCGAACGTTATGATAGTCGGTGCAATGCCGGAATACCTTAACTATAGTATTATTGACTAATATAAATACCGTCCGGTAGGTTGGGTGGGGAATGTTTGACCTAAAGTGTGCAAGTCTGCCCGGAAGGGTCTTGCTACAATTCAGGTAAACGACTGGTACTTGGTCGACGGTCGTGCGGTTTTTTATATGCCGTTTATCGGTGATTATTTCGAAATTATGAAACCAAAAAAGTGCAATCGCCGATAAACGTAGAATTATAATTTATACAATAACAAAAAGGTAGACTGGAGAGCAGTGGTGAGCGCGATCCCCGTGACTGTGGGTGCGTAAACTGGTTGACAAGATTCAATTGTGCAGTATAACCAACAGAGTATTTGTTTGAAATATGAAAATTTGCAGTTTTTAATATAGTCTAATTTTTTTTGAAAAAATATTCTTTTAAAAATGTTGTAAAGTTTCATGACTTTATAAAATATTAAACTAACTAATATTATGATATCAGTTAAAGGTTCACAAGCGAAAACAATGTTTTTAACTCTCCGATCAATTGTGCAATAATGGGATTTAATAATGACGATTTCTCCGTGTTGATTTCACATTTCAATTGCATTTTTAAATGCAAAAAAAAGCAATATAATTTCGTAAATGTTAATTTTTAGTTAGCAGAAATTTTTATGCAAAGAACAACCGTTTTTTTTTTATCGATGTATCATGAAATCACAAATAACATATGTGTCGAGAATTTATTATGTTGTTGTCCCTCCAAAAATAGAGTTACAATATTATAATCATTCACTGAGATTCAATTTTTCATGATCAACTACTAAATATACTCGTATGTATATATTTTGTAAAGTTATCAGTTTCAATATTTTCATCAGTTTGCGTCAGAATAATGGAAGTGGTAAGGTCTATACAACGATTACCTTAACTCTTATATCTGAATTTAAAATATATAATTCTTATATCTTATTACCCTTAATATTTAGAGAGGAACACACGTGATCGGTGCCTCTCGGTGATCATTATCAATAGGTTTCGAATTAGTATCTATGATTCCCAGAATTCGTTCTCTTGTGGTAAAGTTTTATCAATAAGAGATAAGATTAGCTTACAAAATAAATTTAATATACAATTTAATATTCGTTATAAATTAATAATTATAATATTTTATACCTAAATGTATAATATAAACAGAAAAGCTAGAGAGGACATGTCTCTCTATTTGCCCCACGATGGACGCCCATACCCTAACCACCCTGGTTATATTAAAGTTGTATAATTGAGCAATGAAAAATCGTTCGCAAAAAAAAAAAAAAATGATTTCCAATGAACGTTTTCATTTTATTACACACATTACCGAAACAAGAATTAAAGGGACTAAATGCATTTTCGAGTGTTTATTTTGCATATATTCAAAGAACAAAATTTTAAGTGTAAACTTTAAACAGATAATACTTATATAATAATATATAACTATTTGACCTATACACATTGAGGTTAAGTTATTACAATAAGAAAAAATGTAAAATTAATAAATTAAACAGTTTATATTAAATATATATATATATATATATATATATATATATAGTAACTAGTAATAACTACAGCCAAAACATCAAATTATTTTTATAATTATTTATTTATTTCAAGATATATTACTAGATTAAATAGATAATTCAAAATAGTATTCATCTACAACAGAAATAATCATATTTTAATTACATTTAATTATGGTTAATCGATTTCAAAATAAAAAAAAAATACAAAATAATTTAATTTTTAAAAACTATTTTTGGCACATTTAAAAAATTAATAAATGTAATTATTTTGTATAAATATTAAATATAATTTACTTTTGAGTTCTGAAAATATTTACATGAAAGGAGGATATTAGGTATTCTAAGGATTTTTAAAATGTTTTTCAGGAAAAATATATGTACATTACGACTTGTTTGTTCTGTAGCATACAATCTAAAAATTAAAATAATTTCAAAAAGAAATTTACTTTTATAAAACCAATTTTTCTTTGTTAAAATATATATATTAGCTTGTATATAATTCATGTAATATATATAAAAATAAATCATTAAAACGTACAACGATAATACGCGGGCTATGATTAATAATACCATATGTTAGCTAACAAAGAAAATAAAGAATGGCATTATTTTTAATTTGCAAAACTTTGTGAAATTTTTTTTTTATAAAATAAAAAAAATGAAAATATGATATTCTTGAGATTATTTTAGCAATGTTATTGCATATTTTTTTGAAAATTAAATTAAACTTTTCTTTAAACAATTTACAATAGGTTTTTTGTTGTATGAATTATCCACGATGTGAATGTAGTACAGTTTAATAAAATATAAAACCTAATACAATACAACTGTGCTCGTTTTTTAAAAGCATAAAATCAAGTTATTCGATTGAACGTTTGATAAAAATTATTTCTGATCTCACTATACTCGCTCATCGTAAATTCACTATACTTTTAGAAGGTAAATTACATTTGTCATAATTTTATAATCATACACAATTTTCACGATAATATTGATTTATTACCGAATTACTGTAGTTGCATTGAATCCTGAAATTTTTGATCACGCGTTCGCTATTGCTATACAGTGCTGCAGTTCACCTTCATAAAATATGTCATACTTATAAATTGAATAGGTTCTCCATCAAGGAAAGTAGTTTTCATTATACAATATTAATGAGTTCATCTCAGTATTGAAATATGTATGTTATAAATCATCTTTATAGTTTAATACGTGATTAAAATATTATATTTATGATAAAGTATTACATTACTCATTTGATTAGCATTTAAGGCCCAGTTGTTGCATATTATTTTTTGAAAGATCAAAGATGATGTTTTCCTAGCCCAAAACGTATTTCAATATCATACGAATCTATACAACTAATTATATTTTACAGATTTTTTTTATTTCTCAGGTAATTTTTGTGACTCTTTAAATAATTGATTTTATTATATTTAATAAATTGAGAAAAAAATCACGCGTGGAACTTAATTAAATTGTATCCATCCGTTCACCTAGAACGTTTAGGTCATAGAAATTAAGTCTATGTAAATAAGACCGAACCTAAAAGTATACACCTATGTATATTACATATGTAAGTATACACACACAGTTTCAATTGAGAAAATATAAATTATAACTATGAATTTGGCATTTTTAAAAATACATATACTAATTCTATATATACTTAAACATGAATATTGAATATACCTGTGCATGATGAGAATATTTCAAAAAGTCATTTAAAAATAGTAAACCGATAATATGTCTCTGTTAGTTTTACTGATTCTGTTGAAAAATAATCATGATTTTTAAATTTATTAATTTATATTTGTCATTAAAAATAAAATAAATGCGATGAGCAAGAAATTAATTTCAAAGCTATGACGGCAAATGGTAATTCTAAGTCCCATTCTGCCGAAATATTAAATTATTTATCGAGAAATGAAATGCTGAATTATCCATGGTAATGTATTTACATTGTAATTTAATCAATAATCCACACATACATTTATAAACCGAACTCGGAAAATACATGGCTTTAAACAATCCACAGTCAACAAGCAAACTGTTGCAAACTCAAAATTTTACGGAGACTAGTCAAAGGTTTTATCGACTGTTTTAAATTATTAAATCAGGTTTATTATAAAATTTTCGGTCTGTATACACTTTTATGTGTAATTATGAACCACTAATCATTTTCAGAATCGAACAATTTATTGAAATTATGTACATTGCCAACAAAGACCCTTAAATATCATATTTATGGATAAAATTGTCTACACTTTTAATTGAATAAGAGCCTAGTCTTATTTGTGCTGTGATTCATTGAAGTACGTTCTAAAAAAAGTAAAATAAAAAAATTAAATCCTTACACAACATAAATAAAATATGTGTGTATGTTAAGTACTATATTCTATATAATAAATTAAAAAAAAAAACAATTTTTTTACTAAAACTTCTATTCATATATTTAAAAAAATTATCTTTATGAAAAATTTAATAACCCATATCCATTTGTATTATTATTTTTTTTTATTGAAATTTTAATTTTAAATTAATACATTTCAACCATTATTGTTGTAATAAAACTATTATTAAATTCAAAATTACATGTTTATCTATATTGTAATTATATTTGTCGTAGGCATATAGTTAAAGCAAATAAAATGAAGTGCCTAGTTATTTAATTAAATGACTAGGAATATGATTAAATACTTATTT